GTAAGCAGGGGTAAGCTCACGCTTACCTACTACTTAATAATCTAACATTAGGTGAGCCTCAAGCTTGTTTGTGCTCTATACATGGTGGATTCCAACCATGCTTACCCCTCATTATCTAACATTAGTGAATGTGTGCCCTATACTCCAACCCTCATTACTCGATCCCTGAAGAAACTTTACATTTCGAATTAATAGTTCCTAAGAATATCGCGTTTAACCAAACGAACGAACAAACTCGTAAATAATATGATATATATTAATACTTGAAGCAAAAACTTTGTACCCCTTTTAATGAAATTTGCGCGAACGGAGGCGTATGAAATTTCGCACACTAGTTTATATAGAGGAGTGGAGAATGCTATTTTTTTTTTAAATGTATTCATTTATACATATAAATAAAATTAGAGTGTCTGTCTGTAACATTGAAATAACTGTTTTACTACATACATATGAATGTAAATACGGTACATACGCCAAAATTTTTTTTTACACGTTTTGTTTGTCTGCCTGTTTGTACCTTTTTTTGCCAGGTAGCTGATGTAATAAGGAGTACTTTAGGCTACTTTTATTTTAGATAAATAAGTTAAATTACACACGGTCGAAGTCGCATAAAACATTAGTTATACAATAAAATTACATTCAATCAATAAAAAGCATTACACACACTACCATACATTTGACTTTATTTATTGTTAAGCACTACCACATATTTGACACACATACACACGCATATCTCTTATTTATTGTTAAGTCTGTGGTTAACTTGAGAATAGATAATAATAATAATAAAACTCTTTATTGTGCATAAAAGAAACAAATAAAAAAAATACAAAAAAAAAGCAAACAAAAGGCGGCCTGGCCTCATCGCTCAAAGCAATCTCTTACAGACAACCAGGGAGATAGAAGCATTGGGTAAGGGAAAGGTAGGTGGCACACTATAAAAAGTTAGAGTTAGTTAAATAGATTTGTTTGTCTTTAATATTATGTCTATAGTCTTTGTCATTAGAACCTTAATAATGTTCAAACTTATAATTTTAATTAATTATGGTCGAGTTTCGACCACTGGGCGACCACTAGATTTAATTAAATAGTTGTCATACTGAAAACCTATAATGCAGAAACGTATAATTTAAATTAATTATGGTTGATTCGACCACACCACTGGGCGGTCATCAGTAGAGTTAATTAATTGAAACCTAACTCCAAACTCGAAAAGTCGTGACGGCATTCCTTCACTATTTAATTCAAATTCAAATTCAAAAATCATTAATCATGTAGGACATTTTAGCCGCTTCTGAACGTCAAATTGTTTACATTATAACTAGCTGTCCCGACAAATGTTGTTTTGCCTTAAAATAAAAAAAAAACTTAGGGGTGGACTACCCCTTACATTTAGGGGGATGAAAAATAGATTGGCTGATTCACAGACCTAATTACGCTCACAAAATTTCATGAGAATCGGTCAAGCCGTTTCGGAGGAGTATGTGAACGAAAACTGTGACACGAGAATTTTATATATAAGATTTTAATTCCTTTCCTACCGCTGGACGGTATTCAGTATATACATCCAATTTAGAAGAACTGGCTGGAAACTCAATTGAATTACTTTTTTTAAAGCCAGTTTATTGACAATTAATTATAACAATGACATTAGGTATTTTCCAATTCCTTGAACCTTGGGAATGTGTGCAGAAGATGGCAACTAGTGTTGTGAGGATCGTCTATCTTTTTCTCGCAGTTTCAATATGGTAGAGCGGCGTCTTTGTCTCGCGCAGCATCCGTATCGATCCATGCCCCGCCCTTGACCTTCAATGGTGCGGGATAAACAGCCCTGACCTTGTATGCGATGAGTCTTGCGTTACTTAACGGGCCTATCATATTATTAAGATATCCCATCTTACTAGTCATATATTTTTTATGATCATGGTTAAATGTTTGACGTAACATGTAATATATGGTTTATGATTATCTAACATAATATCACGTATGTTTATAGTTATTTTAATTATCAATCAATCATATTTTCACGACTGATATCAGATATGGGGTAATCAAATTACTTCAAAAATTATTTCATGTAATCCAAATTCAAATTCAAAATATCTTTATTTATGTTATCTATTACAGACTCTTATGATATGTCAAATCTACCATCAGTTCGGAATGATTTTGAGATGAGAAGAGCTATCAAGAAACTCAGCTCGTATTCTTTTCAAATAAATGTTGTACATGTCTACAATAATACAGACTCTTTTTTAAATTCAAATTTGGGAGAATAGTGTTCACCAGCATATGCTATTGCAAAAGCAAATAGTATAATCAGTGTTCGTAACCCGAACAGACCAGTCCCCACAAGCAGCATTAGAGAAGTCAATACCTACAAGCACCCGTTCACGAGTATGACGGATGAGCCAGCCATCATTGAACTCAATCATATTAGAGGGAGCACATTAACATGTAGGACAGTTTAGCCGCTTATGAACGTTTAGTTTTTTGTATTAATATATTTTTCTCTACCGTCGTTAGTATACATACTTACAGATTGGATTGAGAAGAACTGGCAAGAAACAAGAGTGCTTTTTATACCTATGTAGGTGTCTAGACTAGAATCTAGAAATCCAGTGCATTAACAACTATTCCCATGCCCATTTATCATTTATGTACGTAATCATCTAGTAATAGGAATGGTTTAGTATTTAGTAATAGTAATCGTTTAGTAAGAGAAATCGAACCCGCGACCATCGGAAGTGAGACGGTGTGCTAAACCAGTAGACCACCGAGGCCGTCAATAAGGTACAAAATTGCTACCTCTAGTTCACAAGTTTGTATTAACACAGTTAATTGTCGGATGTCAAGTTTAATTAACCCGGCGTTTAGCCAGGAAATGTTATGGGGTTACAAAATATTTGCGTAAAACGAGACGCATAGGGTGAACAACCCTCGTATAAAGGAATTTAACCCTTCATTCGGTGGTGTCAAACAAACACCTCTAAAACCGGGATTAGGACACGATTGCAATGTGTTAACTTGTGTATTATGTTATGTACATAGAAAGCACCCAGAACGATACAAACAATCATACACATGAATAGAAATGTTTGTGCCGTGCAAGGAATCCAACCCGCGACCATCGGAAGAGATGTGGTGTGCTCAATTGCTAGACCACCGAGGTACCTCTTGTTCCTCAGTATTGAATCACGAACTTTACTTAGACTGCTGTTATTAAACACAATAGAGGAGTTTTGGTAGTGTTATCATATAAAACTGAAGAATGAAATTATTAAGCATTAATTGCATCTGCGACTTCATTCGCGTGAAATTTAACTTTATTTTTCTAAAATAAAAGTAGGCTAAGTTACTTCTTATTACATCAGTTACCTGCCAATAAAAGTCCCGTCAAAATAGGTCCATTCATTTCAGAGATTATCCGGAACAAACAGACAGACAGACGAAAATTGTAAAAAATGTTATATTGGTATAATATATGTATCGTATTTATATTCGTATGCATGTAGTAAGAACGGTTATTTCAAGATTACAAACAGGCACTCTAATTTTATTTATATGTATAGATAATAGTCGAGATTTTGTAGTGTTATAAAAAAGTGAAGAATGAAGAATCAATACACTGTGCCAGTCGCTCGTGGCCTTGCCCAATTTAGGCTTATTTAAAGTCGATAATCACTAACAAACAATTTGCCACCGTAATTTGTCTCTTCTACTGTATACAAATAGGGATCAATTGCTTTTCATTTGAAACAATTTATTATTTGTGTTTAATGTTTTTGTTTCTTTATTATTATTATTTGTATCTATATTTATTTCTTAATTGAAATTACTTAAAATTATGAACACTGATTAAGAATATTAGCAATTCGACTGTGATTTTCTTGTGTTTTCACCTCAGAATTTTCCTCGGCGAACTTATTTTGGTGATTCTTTTTTATTTAAATGCTGATGCTTCTCATCTGGTCCTATAAACGTTTTATCAAGATTTGATATACATATGTAAAATGTCAAGCTCTAATATACAAAGATATTTAGCTACATATATCTCTTGAATATTCCACAGAATGGAAATTTATGGTATAGAGCTGTAGTGTGTATACTAAAGAGAATTGTCTTTTATTTTATACGTCTGTACAGACCATTACTTGTAAATTTTAGACAGAAGTTCCTCGTGTGATGTAGGCATCCATTAGGGCAGGGGTTTTGAGAAATCCCACTGGATAGGAGTAATGTCCATTAAAAATGAGTACCGCGGAGACAATGCTGTCAAGTTCCTACATGATCCTACTTATATAGTATTATAAACGCGCAAGTTTGTCTATATGGAAGGATAGATGGATAATAATAATAATCTCAGGACAATTCACACAGCGCCATCTAGTTCCAAGTTAAGCTATCTAAAGCTTGTGTTACCGGCACTAGATAACTGATACAAATACATAGATAATTTTTTTTTTCGTAAATACATACATATTATACTTAGAAAACACCCAGACCGATACAAACAATCATACTCATAAATACAAATGTTTGTGCCGTGCGAGGAATCGAACCCGCGATCATCGGACGTAAAGCGGTGTGCTGGACCGCTAGACCACCGAGGTCGTAAAGGAGATGGATGGATGTTTGTTACTCTTTCACGCAAAAACTACTGAACGAAATTTGACAAAACTACAGTAATATAACTTAGACATCGGAATGAGACATAGGCTATAAATTTCACACAGAAGAGCTGGCAGCTGGCACCTCGGACAAAGAATTAGTCTAGCTATTCAAAGGGGGAACTCTGCCAGTATCTTCGGAACCTTGCCTGACTCCTTTTAATAATATACTATAGTTATTATATTATACTTTTTAAGGTTTCCAGTTGGCGTAGTATATATTTTTTATTTCTGTATAAATAAAATGACAAACATAAATTTAATAAAATATTGCCACAAGATATATTTTGCATAATTTAACGAGTGTTTGTTCGTCTGTTTGCAGGCGTGGCGGATGTCGGGCGGCGGGGGCGGGGGCGGCGCGGGCCTCATGTCGTGTGTACGCGAAGGCTCGCTCGAGCCGCCCTACAGACCGCCGCACACCGACACACACCACCATGGTCAGTTTTTTTTCTATACTTATAACGTGGTCGTTAACTATGGGCATCATAAATAAACTCAGAGTCCCTAGAGGGCTATGCTTGGAGTGCTTGGAGTGAGCGTATCAGAGATGAAGAGATCCGCTGAAGAATCAGAGCGACCGACACAGCCCGAGGAATTGCGAAAATGAAGTGGCAATGGGCAGGGCACTTAGCTCGTAGGACAAGTAGCCGTTGGGGCTGTAAAGCTGGAGATTTTTGGGGAAGGGACTTCCGGGCTGAAATGATGATGGTGATGATAATATTATAAAGAGATAAAGTTTGTTTGTTTGTTTGAGGTAATCTTCTGGTCTGCTGATACGATTAAAAATTATTTAACTTTTAGGTTATCTAGGCTCCGAGTCATATAGACTATATAACATAACGCCACGTCCAACAGGAGCGAAACAGCAATGAACGATGATAAGTGGCAAAAAATATTCATTTTGAGTGCTTCCCATTCTTTCACTGCATAAACGGTTACATAAAGTTACGCAAAAAATATGTACAACGGAAATGTTCTTCTTTAAAAGTTCTAAAAAAAAGTTCAGGACACATGTCTATTTTATACGGTTAACTCGGTATGAGTTCGGTATTTTTGTTTCTTATAGTTTATCGAATATAAAAACCTAAATATTAAAAAAACCTTTTGCTCCTTCCCAAATTTTTTTTTTATGTTTAGGTCAAAATGATTAATTTCAACTTTTGTATGAATTGGCATTAAAAAATACACACAATCCAAAATTTAAACCCTTCTACGATCTAGGGGTAGATGGTAGAAGGGGTCAAATTTTGGGTTTTTATTATTAATATACACATTTGATTTATTAGCTATATTAATTTATATGGTTTGCCGGTTCAATTAGTTTTTTTAATAAACACTTCGATGTTTCAATTCCAGGCGAAGGCCGCACTGGGAGGTTCTTACGCGGCCTCCGGCGCATGTTCAAGCGACGCGGAAGTGGAACTCGCACGGATGCCTCACCCGACCCGAAAAGTAGCTCCACCAGTGAGCTGCTAGATGCTGAGAGACATGCTAGGAGAAAGTTAGTATACTCTTTCTTGAACCCCTGTTCTTTATACGTCCTGCAGCGGTACCTGCAAAGGTGCTCGTGTCGATTACTATTGGCACCACAGTTTCGCACATGTTATAAGGAATTCTTCAACATGATACCTACGGCTACGTTTTGCCATCGCACCACTCGCCATCGACAGAGAATTCATTCCCACTCGCTAGAACCTAAGTGATCACGGACAGTGCTGTTGCAGGGGTGCTTCTCTTCTAAAAATTAGTTTTCTAGGAATGCCAAAAATCTCTCTCCGTTTAAAGTCTCTCCAGTCTCAGGGCCAATCAATTGATCATTCAATAATCCTGCCCACACATTGATTGTAAATTCATGCTGAAATTGACCTTTGATTGGCTTTTTTTTTGTAATTTTGACATGTGTGCTAGACACTTTTTTTTATTATTAGTCTGAATTATGATACTAATGTGATGTTCATTTGTTAACACAGTTCCTTGTGAACAGATTAAATGCAAAAAAAAAACAATGTGTTAATGAGCAGGTCTTTTTAGGTAGCGCATATTAACTAAAATTATTAGTGAATTTTTACCAAGTTTTTCGGCTGAACTGAAGGATGTCATGGATAATTTTGCATTACTTCTTAACAAAAATTATTTTAAATACCAGCAAATAATATAATCTTTCAGAGAACTTTTCAGGGCGATATGAAAACATGAAAAAAATGAGTTTTAGTGAAGTCGTAAAAATGCTAGATATTAAATTTAAAAAATTGCCGTCATTCATAGGGGTGAGACCCCCCTTTGTATAGTATTTCGTCGTTAAAATATAATATACGATGCGTGGATCAGTCATCTGAAATCCGATATCTAACACACTGTATATTAGCGATAAGATCGCCTTTTATATCAGCTAATATTCATATATTTATTATTCTAATTATTTTCTATATTTGCTGCAATAAAAAGTATAATAAATGATATCTCTTGTACTTCTATATTTACTAAATATAGATTCATTCTAAACTCGACGACGGCCACGGTGTTCTAGTACACCGCCTTACTTCCGATGGTCACGGGTTCGATTCCTCGCACTGTACAAACATTTGCATTCATGAGTATGATTGTTTATATCGGTCTGGGTGTTTTCTATGTATAATATGTATTTACGAAAAAAAATCTATGTATTTGTATCAGTTATCTAGTACCCATAACACAAGCTTTAGCTGACTCAATTTGGGTCTAGATGGCGCTGTGTGAATTGTACTGACATTATTATTATTTACTATTATAATTATTTTCTGTATTTGGCGCAATAAAAGGTATAATTAAAAGTCTGTCTTGTTGTTTTACTACTTATTTGCTATGTTCATTCTAAATTCATATATCACGCTTGTTGTTACAGAGAGGGAGTGTATAGCAGCGGACTGTCGGTGTCCCATGACTCGGTGTTCACCGGCGAGCGATCCGGTGATGAGTCCAGTGATGAACGACCCACGCCCGCTCATCATTTAGCACATTTAGCCACATCGCATCGGGTAAGTCTTCGTATTAATTAAAAATTCGAATTAGAAATATCTTCAACCTCTACCTTCTGTATTAATAATATAGAGGAGAGCAGATTTTGTTGGGAGGAAAATAAACTCTGGAAGCAGTGCACGTATTTGAGAAATTCTGTTTGATTTGAGAATTACACTGTTTAACTGTTACTTCCATTTCACCGCATTCAGAATGGAGCAGCCAGAATTATTGGTAATCAACGTCTTTGTGACAGACTCGACCCGTTGACTTTGCGGCGAGACATTTAATCTCTGTGCATTTATTTTTACACGGGTATTCTGAGGAATTGTTTGGAATATTACCAGAAACTAAAGTACCATCCTGATCATCTAGATGAATGGCAATCTTCCACCGTGCGGTTTTATAGAATCTTTTTGTTTCGCAAACATAGTGTAGAATCAACTTCCAGCAGTGGTATTTCCGAACCAATACAATTGTAACAAGAAAACAGCTTATTCCTTCTGAACTTACAATTCCCCTGGTGTTGCATGGGAACCCTCATGGGCGGCAGTAATCACTTACCATCAACTGAGCCCCAAGCTTATTTGTCCCCTATGCTATAAAAATATATTCTAATGTCACATAAGGTAAAGATTAGGTGAATATATACGAAAAACTCCCAGCAAATTGCTTGGTAACTGAAATAGGTAAGGCAGATAGTCTGTACATACATTAAGACCAAACTCCGCTTATTACCTTACCTTTAATTTTATTAAAGCATCAATCTTCTCTCGAATTCCACACAAACTTAACAAACAACAACCCTCAAGATTTACCGTTAACTCGTATTCTTTGACCAATTTCGGTTTTCGGACAGTAATCGGTATTTATTACGGCTTCATTGTGTATTCGTCGCTGACATTACGAAGATTGAAAGCTTTTGTGTGTAGAAAACATAGTGTTTGAAAGTTTATTGCTTTGGTAATCTTGCCTCGCATGAAAGAGTATAAACTTTGTCTATACATTTGTATCATATATATAGTGTTCGTTCTGTTTTCGTTCCCATACTCCTCCGAAACGGCTTGACCGATTCTCATGAAATTTTGTGAGCGTATTGAGTAGGTCTGAGAATCGGCCAACATCTATTTTTCATCCCCCTAAATGTTAGGGGTAGTCCACCCCTAAATTTTTTTTTTATTTTAAGGCAAAACAACGTTTGCCGCGACAGCACTAGCTGTCGTTCAATATATATATATATACTAATATATATATATATTGAAAATTGAAACGCTATTACATTACGATCAAAAAAATTATACGTAACTAAAAATCTTGATTTTCACAAAAAAAAGGACCAATCTTGAGCTTATTCGAGCCTAGACAGAATAAAAATTAAAGGAAATGTGCTAGATGTTGGAAATGTATTACATTTTCAGAATAACGAAAAAATAAAACTTTTAAATTTAAAATGTAATAATAGAAGAACCTAGAGGAGCAGACCGTAAATATTTATAACAAAATTTCGATTAAAAGTATTGCTAGCGCGCTTTTGGATTACACGAGACCCAAGGTCTGTTTAGAGATAGTGCGAATACTGAAAAATACCCACATATATATATATATATATATATATATATATATATATATATATATCTTAATTTTATAGTGAAGTAGAGGTGGGACTGGATTCCCTAAAATATGGTCGAGAGTAATGACTGGCTCATGCGTCATACTCGTGAACGAATACTGCTTGTAAGGACTGGTCTGCTCTAATTTTAGTAGTTTGTGTATTTAATATTTTGACTGTAATGAATTAGTGATACTTGATAGTTTGTTTACAACTTAAAAATGTAAAGTTACTGTGTTGTTGATGTTAATTGTTTAAAAGCGCAACACGCAAGTTTCTTTCTTATTCTTCTTGCGATAAGACAGCTTTTGAAATGAGCGGTAGAATAAGTATGACTTTTCAAATGTGCCTAAATTTAAGTTTATTTGAATAAAGAGTTTTCTAATAGATTTTATTATGTTATGTGGACACACTTCTCTTAAACCACATCCATTAAAAACTATGATAGAATTTCTTGATGCCGTGGTCCTTACAATAAATATTTGTCTCTGCGGAATATTTTGTTTATCTTCTTAATGTATAAAAACTTTGTGTCACGTTGTTTGTCCGCGATGGCATCCTAAAACTACTGAACCGATTTTTATGTAATTTTATGTATGTAAACTCGGTAGGTCTTAAAATAGCTTATTATAATTTTGTTATACCCTTAACTGATAAGGATGGCTCACCCCAAAAATGTATTCTATTTTGTTATATTTTTTTTATTTCGGCATTATTTTTTTAATATTATGTTTTTACTTCAGCATCTTATTATGAATTTTAACTGATAAGGATGGCTCAACCTAAAAATTTATTCTATGTTGTTAATTTTTGTTAATTTTTATTTCGGAATTATTTTTATTATTATTATGTTTTTTATGCTTCAGCATAAAAATATACATACATACTAATCTTATTTTTGACCCTTCTACTATCATCCCCTATTTTTAAATAGCGATATTAGTTTATGTAGCAAAAGAGTGTTTTCCGGAACAGCTTGTAATCACATAGATACTGCATAAACTGTATTCAATTGCAACTATATTCAATTAAAATGATAGCTAATGATGATTAATCTAGAAATTTCGATTACATAATAACAGTTTTTGTATAAGTTAGTGTGTTGTTTAAAATCATGATGACTGGTGATATGCAATGACCTATACCGTTGTGCAATATTACCCGTAAGGATGACTGTACATTTTTTTACTTTACTTTCTATTTTGAAATGTTACATCCGGAATTTGTAATTGTAACAAGACAAAGCTGGTAAATTGTAAAAAATCTACTAATTGATTTCCATACCAAGTGTTCTGAATAATAGTTCGACGGTCCCGGCGGTCTGGCGGTTTAGCAACCGCTTATCGGTATGTTGCGGGTTCGATTCCTTGCACGATTTAAACATTTGTATTCATGAGTTTAATTACTTGTATGAGCTTATTGTTGAGAGTTATAGTAGACTCAGAGTATGTATATTTGACGACCTCGGTGGTCTAGCGGTCTAGCACACCGCTTTACGTCCGATGGTCGCGGGTTCGATTCCTCGCACGGCACAAACATTTGTATTCATGAGTATGATTATTTGTATCGGTCTGGGTGTTTTCTATGTATAATATGTATATATTTACGAAAAAAAAAGTCAGTTATCTAGTACCCGTAACACAAGCTTTAAACTTAACTTGGGTCTAGATGGCGCTGTGAATGAATTGGCCGGAGATTATTATTATTATATTTGTTGTGTAGTACACACACTACAAACTCTACTTAGTTTATGGCTAGATGGTGCAATATAAATTGTCCATGATAATAAATATTATTATTATAGTTTGTTTGCCGTTTAAGAAACATAAATCCATATTATCTAATAATGAAAGAATCAAATTCAAATTCAAAATATCATTCTTCATGTAGGTCTATTACAGACTCTTATGATATGTCAAATCTACAGTCAGTTCGGAATGATTTCGAGATGAGAAGAACTGACAAGAAACTCAGCTCGTATTTTTTTTTTAATTGTACATATTTACAATAATACAATTTCATTTAAATACACATTTGGGAAAATAGAGTGACCACCATATATGCTATTGAAAAATAAAAATCATAAAAATTTGATCACTCAACAAAATGCTGCTCTATCTAGATCGACGTGATCTATCTGTGAACTTTGTACTATCGCCAAAAATAAACATTTATAAAGCGTTCTGTGTGCATACAAGTGGTAAGTTATCAATGACTTCAAATTCAAATTAAAAAATCATTTATCCATGTAGGACATTTTAGCCACTTATGAACGTATAATTCTTGTCCCTTACGGGTCTAGTAGCGAACTTTGAATAAAAGCGAGCACTAGATCTATACAGGTCGCAGTGTTACAGGTCTTAGCCCTTGACAATAGACCAAAGACCCAATTGAAAATTTAAAAAAAATTCTACCTTTGGCTGACCACTAGTGTAGGCGACACGTAAATATAAAAAGATCTAAATGTTCTAAAATATTAATATGTATTCTTAATGTTAAATAAACGCGCGTTATGGCTAATGTGACCAGACGTCCCGTAATGAACGGGACAGTCCCTTTTTATAATTACGAGTCCCGGTGTCCCCGAAACGGACTCTGGGACGCAAAATTGTCCCGTTTTCGGTAACGGTGCGAAATTTTGGGTAGACGAGCCGGTTGTTAGTTGTTGGTAATTAAGGTGAGTATAAAAAAAATGTGCCAAGAGTGTCCTTCTTACTTAAATACTTCTTAAAAAGTCAAATTTGTTCCTCCGATAACAAAACATTTTATTTTTATCAGATAAATATAAACTATCTATGAATAAACAAAATGTTTAATTATATTTATCGGATATATTTCTTTATTGTGTCCCGTTTTGAGTCGAAGAATAAATGGTCACATTAGTTATGGCGGACGTAGGACGTATGCGGGCGAGCGCGACTGCAGCGTCTCTCGCGATTTTCTTTCAGTACTAATCGGTTGCCGCGCCTTTTGTTCTCTCTTCGGCTCGCGCGCACCTCCGTAACGTGAATAAGCAAAAAAATATATTTTTTCTTCTACATCCTCAACAACTCAACTTCAAACACGGATTATTTCCTATAAATGATATAAATTGTTATTATTACATTTAATTTTAATTTTGGACATACTTATTATTACTTAATGTTGGACATTTAACAATATAAATAATTATGACATTCGTTGTTAACATTTAACAAGTTATATTAACATGAATTTAAATTTGCATGCTCAAAATGCAGCTGAATATAGAACTGTAAATTAATTTGTAAGAACAATGTAACCTATTCAAAGCAAATAAAAATAAACTAGAAATTGATTCATCCAACAATACCAATACTTCAGCCAATTACATGTAATTGAAATCTAATTCGGGAGCAGTCTTGCTATAGCCGGGTAGTTTATTCCAGATGA